TGTCTTTCCGTCTATCCTTAGACGATGTGAGTATTGAATTTTTCCTTCGGGATGGGTGTCTTTCCGTCTATCCTTAGACGATGTGAGTATGGATTTTGGGTGTCTTTCCGTCTATCCTTAGACGATGTGAGTATGGATTTTGGGTGTCTTTCCGTCTATCCTTAGACGATGTGAGTATTGAATTTTTCCTTCGGGATAGGTGTCTTTCCGTCTATCCTTAGACGATGTGAGTATGGATTTTGGGTGTCTTTCCGTCTATCCTTAGACGATGTGAGTATGGATTTTGGGTGTCTTTCCGTCTATCCTTAGACGATGTGAGTATGGATGGTGGGGGTCCCTCCGTCTATCCTTGGACGATGTGAGTATATTTCTCTTCCTGTCAATCAGTAGGCGATGTAAGAGGATCAGGTGTTTTTGTTGCAACTCTCGGGTTTGTTATCTGTGGTATCACACGGGTAACTGGCGTTGAAATCAGGAGTTCTTTATCAGATGATTAGTCAGTTTGTTGCCGTAATGATTGGACTTGGTTTCCTGGATTTTATGCCCCAAGCAGTTCTACAGTATATTCTCACGGTTGGCAAATTTTCGGGTTTATTGGTATTCAACTGTCTCGTACCTCGATTGTCTGAAGGCTATTCGCGCTTCATCTATTCAGGTCCAAGTCGCTTGAATAGGGGCAGCTGTTGCACCCTAAAATTTGACCAACCGGTGCCACTTTCGGTTTATGCTTCGACGCATTTTGCATTAGCATCTGCATACTGCATATAGCGCATTTCCTCAATCATGGTGATTTTATCGGGATTACAGAGCTGTCGCATTTCAGGTATCTCAGACCGGTTCGAGTAATCAGAGGTTATTTTGGGAAGTCGCGCGCTTCCTGGGTGTTTTCAGTTTGCAGTGATTTTTGAGATTTTTGGTGTCCGGGTTTACTGTTTTGCTTCGATCTGGTCTCGCTCTCTCTTTTATGTTGATTATTTGCCTTTGTTTGCATTTTTTAGAATTTAATAGCCTTTTGTAGATTTTAAATAGGCTTTATAGATTTTTCAGAATTTAAATAGATTTTTTTATATTTTTAATAGTTTTAAATCTTTTTTAGAATTTTATAAATTGTTTTTTAATAGATTTTAGAATATTAGGTTTTAATATAGATATTAATTTCTTTTTAGGTTTAATATAGCTTTAATAGTTTTAGTGTTGATTTTAATAGAATAGACAATATAGAATAACAATAGTTTAATAGAACATTTTTTAATAGGTTTTTAAATAGAAATTAATGGAGTTTTTTTTTCTTTTATTTTTTAATGGATATTAATAGTTAAATAGATTTTTAGAATAAATCATGTCATTTTTTTTAGAGTTTTTTAATATGATTTCCTTTTAATTGAGTCTTCATTAAATAGAAATGTTTAGAGTTTTATTTTTTAATTAGATGTTAACTCTTTTTTAGGCTTAATAGATATTAATTAGGATTTTAATCTTTTAATTAGAGTTTGTTAGATTTAATTAGGATTAGACTAGTTTAATTGTCATTCTAGCATTTAATTGTAGTTTTAATTTTTAGTTAATTAGGTTTTAAGGCCTTAATCAGTTTTTGTGTGAGTTTAATGAGGGTTTTGCAATTAATTCAGTCCCATTATCATTTTTGTGGGCCCAGAATAGTTTTTTGGAGGCCCAATCCTTTAGTCCATTTTTGTCCGTGCCACATGTCCCTTATATACCAAGCCACGCGTTCAGCTTCAGGGGAGACACCTCATTTTTCACTTCACCCAGAATTCAGACACTTCACTTCCCACTATCTCTCCACACACACACGTGGCACACATGCGTTCTCCCTCTGCCACCCAACCATGACACGCGTCTACCACTGAGCTTCGCCGGTTGCATGGCCGGCGACCATGCAACCACCGCACCTGACTCCTTATGGACACCGTTAACCAACTCCGGTAACCCCTAACCAACCTCCAACTGTCTCCGACCACCGCCATCCGCCGTAAACCATAAAATCACCAGAAATTCATCTCTTCACTTCTCCGTCCAATCTTCATCATCAATAATCGTTTTGTCCAGAATTCTTCATCTGAAGTTCATCAGATTCTTCAAGCAATCACCAGAAGACCTCAATGTTCTTCATATGTTCTTCAAACAATCATCAGAAACTCATCCGCGAACATCATCAATTCCAGATTCGTCAGATTGTTATCTTCTCCGATCAATATTTTTTCCAGAATCTGCATCAAGATTCAACGCGTTAATCTCCATCTCTTGCGCAAGAACCGTTCATCACACTCATAGTCTTCAATTGAATCTCTAGAATAATCTTCAATCCTCATCAGGTCCAACATCAAGCTTCATCCAGATTTCTAGATCTTCATCTAGAATCTTCAAAGGCGTTCATCAGATTTCGCAAGATCTTCATAGACCTTCATCTTTGCTCATCAACTCTTCAGATTCACCGTCTTCTTCAAGAGCTTCTTCAAATCTCCAACAATATTCACTGTCTTCTTCAAGAAGTTCTTCGAAGCTTCATCAGCGACTACCGGTCCTCAAGAACGTCAAGGGATGGATGATTGGTTCCAGGGATTTGCATTTTTTTTGTCGTTGTTATTTCGATTTAGTTGTTCTTGTGAGATTTGAAGCGAAGTTTGATAATAAGAGGTTGGATTGAGAGAAGACGGAGAAGTGCGATGGAGTGTGTTAGCGGCCATGAACAGTGAGGGGTGAGGAGCTAGGGTTTCAGATTGGAAATGAGAGTGAGGGAGAGTGTTGGACCCAGAAGACGTGGGCCTTGGGCCCAATTCGTTTTTCCCATTCATCACCTCTGTTTCGTTTCCCTACCCCCCGTTCGTGTACTTGGTGAATTGTGCTGGGCCCAGCGAACCTATTTGCTGTGCACCCTTGGTTTCATTATCAAACCCCCTCCCCAGTTTTTTTTGTTTGTTCCATTTTTTTGGGCTGGGCCTCTATTTTACTTCTTTTCTGCTGGATATACCCCCTGTACTCATACATCCCCTGCACCTTATTTTTACTTTTTTTTAATTCTTTTTAATTCTTTGTAATAGTCTCTTTTATTTTATAGAATAGAGGAAGAAAAGAATATTAAAAAAGAAATGAAAAAGAATAAAAAAAAGAATATTTGAAAAAGAAGAAATATATGAAAAAAGATATGAGAAAAGAAATATATGAAAAAAGATATGAGAAAAGAATATTAAAAAAAGAAATGAAAAAGAATATGAAAAAAAATACTTGAAAAAGAATATAAAAATATTACTTTGTAGATTCAATATTTTTAGAATAGATATTTTCTTCATAGGAGTTTATTTTACCTTTTTAATAGGTAGTTTTAAAAGTCCATTTGTTAGGGGACTTTTTACATTTTTAGGGATAGTTTTAAAAGTCCATTTGTTAGGGGATTTTTTACATTTTTAGGGATAGTTTTAAATGTCCATTTGTTAGGGGACTTTTTACACTTTTAGAGATAGTTTTGTTGAAGTCCACTTGTTAGGGGACTATTTTCCATTTGATTTTTTCCAGAATAGTTGGATAGTTTCTAGGAGATTATTTTCCAGTATTCAATCATTGTAACCATTTTCAGAATGTTAATAAAATGAGATTTGAGTTGTGGTCCCGAAAGTAGCCGAACTACAACTGCTCTGATTTCTCGTACCAGACGAGAATATGTAGGCATAGGATGCGATATCCTAGCGAGCACACTAACAACTAACCTTTTGTTCTCTCGCTGCTGTGCGATCGATACTTTCCCGCTGACGACTGATGTTATCCTTTTCTCTTGCCCGAGTGCATTTGAGACCAGACCGTAGTTTTTCCCATAGGTTCCCGTACCTTTAAAACCAGTTTAATTTCTCACTTCCTGTGTGTGAGAACACCCAGTCTAGCCGTAGTTAGCCTGAACTACGTAAGCTCTGATCTTCCATGCTGTGTGGAAGTACGTAGGCACAAGACGCGAAGTCTTGGCGAGCCAATTCCCTGTAGTTTCCCGAACTACGTTGACTATGACTTTCTCTCTTGAGAATACGTAGGCATAGAGTGCGACGCTCTATCGAGTCAATTCCCTTCTGTTTAGATTTAGCAGCCGTAGATAGATTGTTTTGCATCCTTTAGACAACCCAAGCAAGCGTGGATCCCGTCGAGTACGACGGACGTGAGGGGTGCTAATACCTTCCCCTTGCGTAACCGACTCCCGAACCCAGGTTTTGGTTGCGACGACCATGCCTTTCCCGTTTTTTTGCGAGGTTTACTTCGAGCGTTTCCTTTCCCTCCGTTGGGATAAATAACGCACGGTGGCGACTCTTCTGTCAGCCGGCGCCGATTTTCGCAGTAGCGACACTATTGTATTGATTTTTATGAAAAATGTTTGATGTCAGATCAAACTTATTTGTGTTCTTTTGAAAAGAGGGTGATTGATTTTATTCTTGCATTAGAGGCTATGGTTAATATATTGTTGGGTGTGAAAATGGAAGTAGAAAAACAATATAGAAGGGGGAAGAGGGTTTGAATAGATCCAAATTAAAATTCAACCGGTGTTTTCCAAAATCAAAGTGTTTTAAAAAAAATTCCAAACAAAAAGTTTGATGCGAAAATAAAAATTATAAAATTTAAATATTGATCAAGATAACACGAATCGTTTCACAAATATAAAAGATTAATTATAGTTAACCATTAAGGTTGAATTTTAAAGATAAAAAAATAGATAATAAATTGAGAGTATAAATTATTTTTATATTATCTATCAATGACAATTATAAATTTAGTCATATCACACTAATATTTAAAAAAAATGTAATAATAATTTATTAATTTTTTATTAAACGTTTTGAAGATATGTATGACACGCATGATTGCGAAGGGCAACGAACAAGATCAAAACATTTGACATTTAAAAAACGAAACTAACAACGAGTTGGAAGAAACATCCATCTTTCTTTCTTTCATCCCCGTCATCAATCATTCCACTCTTCTCAACCCAATCGCTCCAATTCACCATGACTAGTAACAACCCAGGTTCATCTCTTCCATTTCCGTTTTCAATTTCCTCTTTCTTTTTCTAATCCGTGAAATATGATCCTATTCTTATGATTTATCGTTTCTTTCTCTTCGTTTTTATTGCTAACTAGCTGTATTTTGATTCTGTATATTGTCACAGATGATAAGAACGGAAAGATGCCTTCGTATTTTCATTTGCCACCACTTGATGTCTCTCTGGCATTTCCACAAGCAACTCCCGCCTCTACTTTTCCTCCCTGTGGTAACAACCTGATACCTTCTCATATGCTTGCAATTTTGAATCATGTGAAAAAATTAATTCACCATAACTGTTTTAATTGTCTCATATTTTGGGTCTCATGGTTTGAGTACCAAAAGTGGTGATGTGATTTTTTTTGTTTTGTTTTCACTACCAGTATCCAGCCCACTGGACCGACTAATCTGATTTGCGCACTCAATAAACCTTTCTTAAGCTGTTAAGAATTTCACATCAGATAATATATGACCAGAATATGTGGGGGCAATCTTCACTCTACAAGCTGGTTTTGTAGAGATGAGTTAGTCCCAAACCACAATTCTTAACAAGAGCTGTCTAATTGAGTTATTCATATGTGTGTAATGTAACTCATTTTCGAGAGATGTTCACTTTGATATTATGTAGTTAGTCGGTTAATGTTATTATGTCTTTTAACTTCGTATGATTTTTGGATGTAAAGTATATTTTGTGAAACAAGATATGTTTGGGTTTGGAGGACTGACTTGCATTCTGCATTGGTTTTGATTGTTGGAAAGTGCAGTTTCAGATTATTTTCAATTGGACGACTTGTTGACATCGGAGGAGCAGGCTGTTAGGTTGAAAGTGAGAAAGTGTATGGAAAAAGAAATTGCTCCCATAATGACCCAGGCAAGTTCTTTTTTCCGTTTTGAAGTAATTAAAGTAAATATCTATGTTGGTCCTCCACTAGTAAATATACAATTTGGTTAAGAAGCTACTTGAGTTGATTTGGTTTCAGAAAATATCTGTCTGGACATGTTGATCTGGTCCTCGTAGTTGTCAATTCGCTAATAAGTTCATCTTTGAGAGACCTGATTGTAAATTAAGCCGTGAGTCTGTGTTTATGACTCTCTGTATTTGCTGACAAATGAATTTCTAATCTATTTAGCATTTTTTTAGTAGAGGACAAAACTGAAGGGATAGTAAATTTCCTTTGATGTTTGTAATCATGTTACCTTTCCAACACTTAATCTCATGCTTTTTAACAGTATTGGGAGAAGGCTGAATTCCCGTTTCATGCTATTCCAAAGCTTGGCGAACTGCGTATTGCTGGTGGCACAATCAAGGTTCTCTATTTACATATTTCCCTAATATTTCATCTTAATTAGGTCTTAAGACAGTTCAAGAGTTCTTAGCTAGTTGTGATTGATTCTCAGGGTTATGGCTGTCCCGGTCTTTCAGTAACTGGAAATGCTATTGCTACAGCAGAAGTTGCTAGAGTTGATGCAAGCTGTTCAACTTTCATTTTGGTCCATTCATCCTTGGCAATGCTCACTATTGGTAATATATGTGTTTGTTAATAATAAATCTTTGAATTGTAATTGTTTTGCTAAATCCACTGTTCCTGATATTTTATATCTTTGATTGTCCACCAAGTAAAGCTTTATGTGGGTCTGAAGCTCAAAAGGAAAAGTATCTACCTTCGTTGGCACAGCTAAAAACTATAGCATGTTGGGTAATTTGCTTTCCTTGGATTTGAAGGATTTGTGTGAATTTGGATTGCATGTAGTCAGCAACCCCATGTGGTTGGCACATTGGTGACAGTTGGGTTGAGAACGAACAGTCCAGATTTCCATTCAGATTTTGAATTTTTTTTCTTCAATTTAATACACCGAGCCTGAAATCTAGACCGTCTGATCTTGATCCAACTAAGCAATGACTGCGTGGGATTACCGATTGTAGACTATCCAAAGACTTAATTTTTATGAAGTCACCACTTCTCAAAGAGGTTTTATTATTATTTTTATTAGGCTTTGACTGAACCTGACTATGGAAGTGATGCTAGTGCTTTGAAGACCATAGCGACTAAGGTTCCGTGGCTTATGTGGCTTTTATGTCCTAATTGCTTTAATAGGAAGTTTCATTTTGCTTCTTTTCGACGTATTTCTCTTTTTATTAAGACATACATTCACTGCTCAATTGTTCCAATGTTCAATAATGTAGTCTTGATTTGCATTGAAAATATCAGGTTGAAGGTGGTTGGATCCTTGAGGGCCAAAAACGGTGGATCGGAAACAGTACATTTGCTGATTTGTTGATTGTCTTCGCAAGGAATACCTCAACAAACCAAATAAATGGGTATGTGATATGTGTAGTGTGTAGTTAGTCCTGTTTGGCTTGAGAAAATCATCTGTGTTTTCACTCTGTCTTCAACATTCCCTATTACAATATTCCTAACTAGGTGATATGTGACATTTTTGTAATTATTAGTGAAAGTGCCAAATGAACTAAACAGACCCTTAGAAGACTTGATTGTTTTTCTTATATATTAGCTTTGTATTTTGTGGATGCTTTTGTGTCCTGCTTCTGAAGTACTCAATTTATTTACATTTTTCTTATTTTATTTATTCGCATTATTTCAGATTTATCATACACAAAGATGCACCTGGTTTAACTGTCACAAAAATAGAGAATAAAATTGGACTTAGAATTGTACAAAATGGAGACATTGTTATGAGAAAAGTTTTTGTCCCTGATGAGGATAGAATAGCAGGAGTAAATTCTTTTCAGGATACAAACAAGGTAACATTTATGAGGTGTTCTTCGGCTGTTATTCCAATAGTAATTGTAATGTTTCATCATTTCAACTTCAAATGAATGTTACAAGTTTGGTCCATATAATTTTCATTATCTGATAATGAGGTAATGGAGCATTTTCCTTCTCTTGGAGATTATATGCATTTTTAGTTGTATTTTTGTATTTTGTCTATAAATCACATGCTGCTTATTTGCTTTAGCTATCTCTAAACAGGTACTCGCAGTTTCGCGTGTGATGGTTGCCTGGCAACCTATTGGTATATCAATGGGCATCTATGATATGTGTCACAGGTATGTTAGTTAAATGGCATGCTTAAAAGAGTGGAGTAATAAGAAATGATAGGATTCAATTCTCACTCTGAACGAAACACTAACGATACTAGCGTGCTTATATAATATACTTAATCATAGCTTTCATTGCATATGATTGTGAATTGTATGTGATTTAAAGGTACCTAAACGAGAGGAAACAATTTGGAGCACCATTAGCAGCTTTCCAACTCAACCAACAGAAGCTTGTTCAAATGCTCAGTAATGTTCAAGCAATGGTTCTTGTTGGTTGGCGTCTATGCAAGCTGTATGAAAGTGGTAAAATGACCCCTGGTCATGCTAGCTTGGGGAAGGTAATTAGTAATAAACTTATAACTTATTAGCAGCTATTATATCATAAGATAGCAAAATTTGGACAAACATTTTTTCTGTGATTCGCAATTTACAACACTAATAAAAGTTCTAGGTAGTTTACTTTGTTGTTATTATTATTTTCACTTAATGTTATTGTGGTAGGTAACTTATAATAAATTTTCAATATTTTTCAGTCATGGATCTCCTTGAGAGCAAGAGAAACAGCTGCTTTGGGGAGAGAATTGCTTGGTGGGAATGGAGTCTTGGCTGATTTTCTAGTGGCTAAGGTTCTCATGCCTAATTCCTTATACAATGCTTATTTTGTTCAACCAACAATTTGATTTAGATTCAATTGTGGTAATTTAGAATTGTTTTTAGTAAAATATTATATTTACAAAGTCATCACCAAATAAAAGACTCCAAGGACCAAGAAAAGATTTTTATTAATGTGAGTGAGTGCTGATGGTATATATACCGACCAAATTTATGATATCAATAAATGAAAAGTTTTTGGATAAAGATGGAAATGTGGGCACAACTGTATCATAATGACTTTTTCATAATCTGAATCCTATCCCCCATTCAAACTACCCAAGTTCCTCTTCACACCATGACTACACCTTTACTTGATTTGCTGGTGAAAAATGATTAAATTGCACTTTCGGATTTTTGAGATATGTTTATATTAGTTGTTCCAAATTGGACATTTTGTTTTCTTACATATTTTTTGCATTTCTTCTGTAATTTTCAGGCATTTTGTGACTTAGAACCTATCTACACATACGAAGGTACATATGATATCAACACTTTAGTTACAGGCAGAGAAGTTACTGGTTTTGCCAGCTTTAAGCCAGCTACTCAAAGAAGTAGAATGTGAGAGTGTAAAACTTTTCCCCTATGGCCATTGGATTCTATTGGTTTATATTTCTGTAATTTATGCCAAAACAGAAGAATTCAATAATATTCATAAAATGTTTCTACAAAGCAGTTAAATAGAAAAACCGAGAATATTGAATATTCTTGAAGTGTAGTACATCTCTTTTTTCTTTTGTTGAATGCTATGAAGAACAAGCTTCTGAATCACATGTTTCAATGTTTGAGAGTTCTGCATTTCCATTCTGCATCTAATATTACCCTTCTGTGTGAAGAATGAATCTTGTGTTGAGGAAACCATAAAATAGTTGTTATGATGCAAATTTCTAAGTCCATGGGAAATTGAAAATGTGGTTCTTTTAAGTTTCCACATCTTACGCATCTAAGTTCTTCACTCACAAACATGTCTTAATATCATAAAAGGAAACATCATAAGGGCTCAACAACCTGAATACATACTCAATGCACATCATCACTGCTAAGGTTTATATGTTACACAACTCAAACTACTTAAAATATATATAAATAAATAGAAAAATAAAAGCATGAAGGAAAACCGAAAACACTTTACAGAAAAAAGACTTAAAAAATTCTATGATGATTCAGTTCAGTTCATCCTTGATTTCCACTCTCAGCATCCTTGTCCAAACCCAAAGACCTGACCCTAAGCTGAAGCTCAGCCACAGCAACAAAAAAGTTAAGAACTTGAGCTGGTTTCAGTATCTGCACAACTCTCAAAGCTGTCTCAGTCCTCAAAGCATCAGCATTTGTCACCATATTCTCCAATGTTTCTTTGAATGTGTTTGGAACTGTACCTTCCTCTGCCATGAATGACCTACTCAAACACACCCTTCCATGGCTTCTAATCATGTCAAGAAGCGGTGGCGCCGCAGTACTCTCATGAACCTTAGCCATCTCATCATTGAGTTCTCTCTCCTTTATCTTAGTCTCTTGTTTGAGTTCATTCAAACTCTCTTTCTGTTCCTCTGACAAATCCTCAAGAGTTTTGTTTACAAGATGAAATGTAAGCCCTGGTTTGAACCCTGCAACCCAAAGATATGATTTTTCCAATGAACTAAACCATGGTGGTGAGAAAAGAACAAGAATGTTTTGATGGGCTATCTTTGATTTCTCTTCATAGTATTGCCCATAGTGACTGAGTACTCTGTTTAACAGATTCATCCTATCTGAACCATCCATCTGTTGATGAAGTTGCTGAGCTGAAAGAAGCTCATCAAGGTAGTTTCTTTGACGATTCAACCATCCTTGTAGAAATTCCTCAAATTCAGCAACATTTGCATCAGTCATCTATGGATTACTGTGAGAAACAGAGAAAAACAGAGAGAGAGAAGAAGAAGAAGATGATAGTGGATTTAACAACACGTGATTTAATGGATTTATTGTGAAAATGGGACAAAAGGGTGTGAGAAGATGTTGGTTTTCTTAGAAGGGAAGCATTGGTAATGGTGGTTGTGTGATTGTAAAAGAAGGGTAATGGCGAAAACAGAGTCATTTGGATGAAAACAGAGTAAGCGGTGTTGAGTTAAGAAAAAACAGAGGATAATTTATATAGAGTAAAAAATAATGAGACTTATTTGGAAGTGGTTTTCGGTGAAATTTGTCTACATATGATGTTTTTGATTTTATAAAAAAATATGATGAAATAAAGAAAAAAGTGAACAATAATTTTGATTCTTGAATGTGCTAGAAACATTACTATTATACTATTTAAATGTTATTAAAATCTCAATAAACATTCTAATTCTTTTTCAAAGAATTTAACACTATTCTATTTTTAGAATATAATTCGAATTAAAATATTTGATTGAGTTAAAAAATTTAACATTATTACTATCTCATTCAAATGTTTTTGCATAAAAAAAATTGAACACAATAAACTTAATGAAAAATAACTAATTAAAGAGAACCTTGATGACATATTTACAATATCAACATTTTCAAAATCTATAATGAAAACGTCTCACTCATGCATTTGGCTTTTTACTCTAAAGAAAATAAATTGAGGGGTAGAGGGGATGAACGGTTGGTTGAGTATTTTGATGGTTGATTTATTATGTGAAGGGTAGTACTCAATTATGATAGAGTTTTATTGTGTTGGTATTAGAGATACTATTTTTTAGGGTTTGTATTTATTTTATACTTGGCTTTGAATAAATGAGTTGACACATGCAAATGGCATGGTGCCGTCTTTGTTTAAGCTATTGGTTTCATGCCAAGTAAGATAGAGAAGTGTAGATATTGAGCCAAGTAAGATAGAGAGAAAAAGACTATTCTCTTCTTTGAGAAAAAGGATTTTCTACATGACTTGGGTGAGAGGTGAATGTAAAGAAAGCATCTTATCCTACCATGCTATTTAAGGCAGCATTGTTACTTTATTGTATACATCAAATAAACACAAGTTGGCACCTTTTAAGAAATAAGAATGATTCTGTTCACAAATTTGTCTTTTCCTTTGCCTAAATCAAGATATCCGTGCATGAAGGGTTGAAAGTAATTTTAAAGATTTAGTGACATGGCTTAAACACTCTAATCCAACTATTATAGATCGTTTTCAATAAAGTTCACATCTCAAAAATAGAAAATACTTATAGGGAGATAAAAATACACACAATTTGAAGTGTACTCATATCAATATAAAGGAGAATACAATGCGATATTTTATTTCTGAAATTATTTTACGTCTTGATTAGACATTTAGAAGTATTGAGGTGATCATACAATTTCGAACTACATAGAACATATTCAAATTAAATAGTTCATCGAACAAATCATGAAACAAGATTATGATCAAATAGATCTCGAAGATAATGAATTTAATTTTGACATTTATACTCACACTCTTTTAATTAATTCTTTTTTGATAATCCTTCTTTTCTCAAGGAAAATCAATTGTAGCACCATCCAAAAATCAAGTGATCCTGTTGTTTGGCTTTTGAAAAATCAAGTTGAGAAAAATTGGTTAGATGTTGATCGTACTTGATCAAAAGAGATTGTTGAACGGACACGTGTCTGAGCTGTCAGACTGCCGAAGTAATGGAGGGGGGGGGGGAGTGTACATGAAACACACTCCGATGCCAAAGTAAGGGTCGAGCAGAGTGATAGCAAGTATAGAGAGAGAAGTAAGAATGAGATTACCTGACCCTCTAGTGAAAAAGGGTATTTATAATGTGCCCCCAGCGTAGGGCCAACATTTTCTATGCACGTGACGTCATGAAGACCAGCACATGGTCTTCGCCCTAGTGTAACTGCTCTGTGCTATCCGGGAGGTGGAGGATGTAACGCCCCAATTCTGATTTCTAAATTTTGTTGAGTCCTTTATTTATTTGGATAATTACTATTTTATTTGTGGAAATTGGAGATAATATGTTTTGTGTGCATATTGTGGTATTTTATCATTTGGAGAGTATTTAAGATATTTCTTAATTAATGATAAGAATTGATATTTGTGAGAAAATGAATTAGCAGATGTTTTGAGAGAAATAGAATGATATAAGAGAGAAAAAGAGAAAGAAAATATAGAAACATAAGAGAAAGAGGAGAGAAAGAAGAAGGAGAAGAGAAAAGGGAAAGAAAAAGAGGAAAAGCTTGGATTCTTCAAGATCAACATCTAGGAATCGGTTTAATCGGGTAAGGATGTGAAATCTTATTATCTTCTCAATGTGTATGATTATGTATGTGTTTGTTGGATTGGTTTGGATTGTTTGGATGTTTTTCCCTATTTTCCGCTTTTAGGTCGGAATGGTTTAATCGATAGAAACCGATGTTTTAACGGTTAGAATCAGGAATAAGTTGTGTAGTTTAGTCGAGGAATGTTAGTCTAAGACTATTGGAACTGGTTTGGTGAAAATCGGGAAATTTTATGAGTTTCTGATGATTTTGGACAGTTGGAGTTTTGAAGTACGCAGATGCTCGCTAGCACGTTCGCTAGGCGAGCAGGTAGCGAGCTGCTAGAGAATGGTCCCAGACTTGGGGCATAATGGAATGACTCTCTTCGCTAGTAGCGAGTGAGGTAGCGAGTTGTTCGCTAGGCGAGGCTCTAGCGAGCCAGTAGCGAACCCTTCTAGTAGCTTCTGTTTGTCTTCGCGAGCAGGTTCGCTAGGCGAACAGGTAGCGAGTGCTCGCTAGGCGCTCGCTAGGAGAATGGCCCAGAGAGCGTGACAACACAGTTTTTCTTTTGAATTCATTCTGTATCGATTCCTTGGTTCGGTTGCGATCGACCTCTTCTTGAATGAGTAGTCTATGTGCTGTTGTGAGACATGTTGTGGGTAGCCGTATGGCGTGAATCCTAAATTGTGGAATCGATTGTGAATAATGGCCTTTTGGAAAATATATGCATTGTTGAATCAATTATAAATGCATGATGATTGTGATGCGATAGAATGAGAAGAATGCATGAAAATATTATGAATGAGCATGCATTTCAAGAAGTGTATGAGGTCATTTTGCATGCGAAGCATCATAATATACATTCTTGTGCTGACTTGATTCCTCGGAGAATCTGCCAAACGATATGATTCCTCGGAGAATCTGCTGAGTGATTTGATTCCTCGGAGAATCTGCTGAGTGACTTGATTCCTCGGAGGATCTGCTGAGCGATATGATTCCTAGGAGAATCTGCTGAGTGATTGTGTGCCCGTGTAGGGTGGGAGCGATATGATTCTTAGGAGAATCTGCTGAGTGATTGTGTGCCCGTGTAGGGTGGGAGTAATTTGATTCCTAGGAGAATCTGTTGAACGATTGAGTCGGTACCGCATTGCATTTGCATAGAGTAGCGAGTTGGCCTCTATGATTTGCATAAATCATCTTTATATGATGCATTGGTGAATAAACATAAATGTAAATGTTTATATGAAATGAGTGTGATTGTAAATTGGTGAAATAAACATCATTATAGATGTTTATGTGAATTGTAGTGAATAAACATATTGTGTATGTTTATGCGGATTGTTGGAAATAGTGGAAATATGCATGATGATATGCTTAGATTATATATATATATATATATATATATATATATATATATATATATATATATATATATATATATATATATATATATATATATATATATATATATATATATATATATATATATATATATATATATATATATATATATATATATATATATATATATATATATATATATATATATATATACACATTGTGATGTATATGAGTGAATTATGAAGAATGTGGTGAGAATGTGGAATATGTGTATTTTTCTTATGTTAAGATAAATATATAATTATATGCATTGATTATTATGATAATAATTCTCACCCTTCTGATGTTTTATGATGCTCTATGAGGCATTGCAGAGTAGGTTGCTGGAGGTCTTTTGTGAAGCGTGGTCTCATTCTTATTGGTCGGTTGGCTCTGATATGTAGCACCGGGTAGCTAGGACTGTATAAAATTCTTTTGTGATACATTTGTATATGTATCTGCTGATGAATGTTTATGCAAACATGAATTTTGATGTGAATCAAACTGAAAGATATGTATATATATGTTTATATGTTGGAGTGATTCAATGTTTAGATTTTTCCGCTTTTAATTCTAAATGTTGAGATGTGGGTGTAAGGACTAAGTTCCTATGTTGCAAGTTACCCTATTGTTGCACATCAATTGTTGAGCAAGTGTTGGATATTTTTAATTTCATGTATAATGTGAGATGCCTCTTTTATACCATGTTTTAATTATACTCTGATGAAATTTTTAATACGTGCCTGAATGATTATTTGGGGGTATAGAAAGGGGGTGTTACAGAGGACCGAATAATCAGGGCACGGGTAGTTACCTGATGAAATGTCTCCACGTTGGGGACACATTTAGAATGTGGGGGAGGTCAGAGGAGCTCCCCGACAGCGGAGCAGAAGAGAGAGCGCGCCGGAAAAATGTGAGGATCCTGCTCGACTGTCATGGGTCCATGCTCGACAGAAGAAGATGTTTTTCCCGACAAGGGAAATGTCTTTGCCCGACGATGAAGCTACTTAGGTCTTATTGGACCTTCCAACCTGATGGGGTTTGGGCCTTCTTGACTATGGGCCAAGCGTCAGCCTAGTCTAGAACAGTAGCCTCCCAAGTCGTTGCTCGTGGTCAAACGAGCTATGACTTAAGGTGCAGAAGTGTTGAGCATGTCGCTTCGTCGGCCAGTCTGCGGCTGTATTGGTAGGGCGAGCCTATGATGTACAAGGATGCTTGCGGACGAGGAGGGGAAACCTGAAGAGACGCAGGGAAGCCTGAGGGTCACCACGTGTCACCCTAAGGAGGCTACGGGCTAGGTA